GTATGTGAGTGCACCCGTGTTGTGCAATGCCACGGAGGTCAGAAGACGGCCTTGGATTCCCCTGGAACTGGAGTTAAGGACGGTTCGTAGCCGCCATGTGGGTACTGGGAATCGAACCCGGGTCCTCTGAAAGAACAGTCAGTGCTCTTACCCACTGAGCCATCTCTCCAGCCCCTAAAACATTTTTCTAAATATTTTATTTTATGTGTATATTCCTTGCCTGTAAGTAAGTGCTCCCATGTCGTGCAGTGTTCGCAGAGGACAGAAGATGCTGTCAGATCCCCTGGAACTAGAGATACAGACAGTTGTTAGCTGCCATGTGGGTGCTGGGATTCAAACCGGGGTCTTCTGCAAGAACAGTGTTCTTAACCACTGAACCATCTCTGCAGCCTATTTATTTATTTAAATTTTATTTTATTTGTATGAGTGTTTTGCCTGCCTGTATGTAAGTGCACCCAGGGCCCACAGAGGGCAGAAGTGACCATCAGGTCCCCTGGAACTGGAGTTCTAGATGCTTGCTAGTCACCATGTGGGTGCTGAGAACTAAACTTGGGTCCTCTGGTAGATTAGTCATTGCCCCTAACTACTGAGCCATCTCTCTAGCCCTTAATCTCTTTTTTGTGGTTGTTTTGTTGCAATGTAGTCTCATTGTGTATGTAGCGAGGAACTTTCAGTCCTGCTTCAGCCTCCCAAGTGCTAGAATTACAGGCCAGTGCTCCATACTTATGGTAGATGATTGTTTTCTATTCCCTCCAGTCACCTCTGTCCCCCCCACCCCCAGCATCTCTCACTGGGATTCTCTCTTACAGGGCTGGGAATGGCCACATCGAACAGGCCTCGCAGGCAACCTAAGCCTGCTGTGGAGGGGGAGCCCCCCCTGGGCCAGGAGCTGACAGAGGCCAACCGCTTCGCCTATGCTGCCCTCTGTGGCATCTCCCTGTCCCAGCTGTTTCCAGAACCTGAGCAAAGGTGAGCTCTTCTGTCTCCCAGAGGGAAGTCAGACCTCATGGAGGTGACTCCCAATGATCACAAGGAGCACCAGGGTTGTCCTTGCCTGGGGGCCTCACTCTCAGAAGGGCCTTATTCCATTATTCTCTCATGTATGCCTTCCCCCAAGCATCTATTGAGCACCTACTGGATGCCAGGCACAATGTTCAGTGCCTGGAAGGCATTATGTTTATGATGAATGACACAGACCCCAACCCTCCCCTCAAGTAGGTCTGTAGAAAGCATGATGTGATCATTCATAAAATGCCTTTGTTGAGAACCTACTATGTGCTGGGTGCAGTGCCCAGCCCTGTGGATGAAACAGAGAGGCAGGAGGCCTGGCTCACAGGTGCCCACCTGGCTGTTGTGACAATGGCAAGTGGGGGTGAGGAAGGGGCTCAATGGGTGACACAGGGTGTCTTGGGAGCAAAGGAATGACAGGGGCATGTATTTGATTCTGTTGTTGTCCACCAGGTGTGCGTTTAAATCATGTTTTGGGGGTCAGTGTAGTGGGATCTTTAGGAGCCTGGACTTTGGTCTTCAAGTTTGAAGGATGAGAGCAGTATGGTGTGAGGGCCCAGTAGGGATAGTCTGTTCTTTGTAGGGTGGAACTGACATTGGAATCTGCTTAATGTTACTGTGAGGCAGAGACAGGAACAAACTGACTCCCAAATTACAGAAGGGAACATAGATGAAATGGAGCAGCAGTCTAGGACAGGAGATGGGAGAAGTCCTTGCACCTGACACCCCATCTACACTCTGAGATCTCCTCAGTGAACTGCCCAAATGTCCAATTGCCTCTGGGTAGCCTTCCCAACCTGTCGGTGAGGGACCCATGGCTCCTTCCACAAAATCCATAGTGAATCTTTCCCAGATGTGCCAACCCTGTGGTCTGAACTCCGGGAGGGCAGAAGCCACCCCTGGTCATCCTTGAATTCCAGGACCTTCCCATAGTTATGTGGCACCCAGGTTCTCAGTGAAAGTCCTGGAGAGAAGGGCAGTAACTGCTGGCTTCGAAAGTGAGGGAAAATTCCTTCGGGTCGCACTCAGCTCTGTGTTCACATCCGTTAAGGACTCTAGTACTCTCCAGTCTCATGTGGTCTTGGTGGGTGACTTCATCAGGAACAATAGTCTGGCTCTGTATCTATAGAATGGGTCTCAGTGGCCCATCCTGTGGGGATTATGAGACTTCAATGAGATGATGTAGGCTGAAGTGACAGCACAGTGCCTAGCACATAGTAGCTACTCAAGACGTGCTATATCAAGCCAGGAATGGTGGCGCACACCTTTAGTCCCAGCACTTGGGAGGCAGAGGCAGGCGGATCTCTGTGAGTTCAAGGCCAGCCTGGTCTACATAGTGAGTTCCGGACCAGCTGGGGCTACAGGGAGACCCTGTCTCAAAAAGATGCCCACAAAAGAAGTGGCAGATCTCACTTCCTTGCCCCAGTTTCCTCATCCATAAAGTGAAAAAAAAAAAAAAAGAAGTCTAGACAGGTATGGTTAATCCCAGCACCCAGGCGGGAGTCAGAGGCATGCAGATCTCTGTGGGTTCAAGGCCAGCCTGGGTCTACATAGTGAATTCCAGACCAGCTGGGGCTACAGGGAGACCCTGTCTCAAAAAGATGCCCACAAAAGAAGTGGCAGATCTCACTTCCTTGCCCCAGTTTCCTCATCCATAAAGTGAAGGTGACACTAGAACCTCTTCCTGCGGTCAGGCAAGTTTGGACTACAATTAACAGCATACAGTACTAAAAGAGATTTAAACAGTAGATGTATTTTCCTTCATAAGAAATCTAAAGATAGATAGCTCCAGGATTGATGGAACACCCCAAAGGGCCCTTGGGCTGTTTTTTTTTTAATATTTTACTCATTACTTTTATTTTATGTGTATGAGTATATTGCCTGCATGTATGTATGTAAGTGCACCACATGTGTGCAATGCCCACAGAGGCCAGAAGAGGGTATCAGACAGTAACTGGAGTTACAGACAGTTGTTAGCTGCCATGTGGGTGCTGGGAATTGAACCCACGTCCTCTGGAAGAGCAGCCAATGCTCTTAACCACTGAGCCATGTCTCCTGGGCTGGCTTCTTTTTAATCATCTTCCCTTGGTCTTCCCTCCTGAACTCAGAATAGCTGTATCAGCTCCATATATCCATATCCTCATAGGACTAGGCTCCTGGCAGGAAGTACAGACAGAAAAATCTTTCCTGGACTGCACCTAGAAGGCTTCCTTTTGTGTCATTGGCCAGATCCAGTCACATGGCCAAGCCTGAGCTGCAAAGGATCCTGGGAAGAAAATAAAAGTATTTGCCCCGCCCCCCCTTTTGCCATAAGAGAAAGAAAATGGATTCTTTCAGCCAGGGAGAAGGGGGTGGAAATTAGTGCTGTAGAGAAACAGCCATCACTGGGGGCAGCAGGACAGGGGACACGTGTCCATGGCCTCGGCAGACCCTGGCATAGGGCAGCAACCCAACGAAATTTGGTTACCCTTTTTACTGATCATGAAATACGTGTTAAGTATATATATGAACGTGCTTGCCTAACATGCATGAGGCCGTGGGTTCAATTCCCAGCACTGCATAAAACTGGGCATGGCAGCATAGTACTATGATCCCAGCTCTAGGCCGAGGTGGAGGCAGCAGGATCAGAAGTTCAAGGTCACCTAGGCTACATAGTTCAAGGCCAGCCTGGGAACTGTATTAGACTCTGTCTCAAAACATCTGTAGGTTTGCCAAGCATGGTGGCACTCCCCTTTAATCCCAGCACTGGAGAGGCAGAGGCAGGCAGATCTCTGTGAGTTCAAGGCCAACCTGGTCTACATAGTGAGTTCCAGGCCAGCTGGGGCCTGAGAGACTCTGTATCTGTAGGTTAGAAATATCTGGGATATTCTATTCTGTTCCCAGCAATTAGTCTTGTTTCCTGCAAGAGCCTAGCTTGCTGCCTGCTCTGTCCCTTGCACCACATCTGGGAAACTGCCATATTCCTAGAAGCTCCCCTAATCAGACAAGTCTGATAACCCCTCTCCTCCCAACCTAATAAATCAAGCCCAGCCTGGGAAGGACCATGTGTACTTTCCTTCCAGAAACAAATCTGAAGAACCTGTCCTGACTGTGGCCCAGGTCCTTCAGGACACTGCCAAGAAAGTACCAGGGATGTGAGCTCTTGTCCCGTCTCGTTCTCTCCGAGCCCACATGAGCATTCATTCATCTTGGACTCTCTCGTTCCTGAATGCTTCCGTGCTGCATTCCAGCATGCCAGTCTGCTTTTTAAGGCAGAGCACAATGTTTTAGAACTCTCCATATTTTTAAAGCCCAGATAGGCTAATGGTTCTTGTTATTTTTAGAAAACACTCAGTGGCTGTTTGTTTTTTTGTCCGCATAGGACATCAAAGAAAGTATCTAGAATATTTATTTCTAATCTGTGTTGTGAGCATTGCAGATGCCGTTCCTTACAATTGATTCTATTTATTCAGGATGTAGAGTCAGGGGCAATGGATGTAGCACAGCAGTAGAGCGCCTACCTAGCATGCATCAGGTTCAGTCCCCAGCATCACTAAATAAATAGGAAAGAGAAAAGAATAAAGAGAAGCAATATAGAGCCAGCTATGAGAGCTCCAGGTGCAGCCCACTGAGCACCTTTGTAATTTGTAATTATAATACCAGCACCTACAAGGCTGGGGTACAGAATCACAAGTTCAAGTCCAACCTGGGTTATATATACTGAGACCCAGTCTCAAAA